GGGGCAGAGACCACAGCTAAGGAGATATCCCCAAGCCTCAAGATTATTGCACAAATAGCCATCCCCTTCCAAGACTAGGTGGTGGGTTGGGAGCTGGTGCTGGGGGTTTAGTCCTTCCTTGAGCCCCCAGTACTGGGCTAAAAAGGAGCCAGAGATACAGGATATGGCCTAGGCTAACCACAAAGACCAGAATTTATCTAGATTTGTGCCCCCAAACCAGGGTGACCCCACTTTGAAGACTGGTCAAAAATGCTGCCACAGCTCCTTGAGGGAGAGTTCCAAGGGTGGAAAGAGAAGACGGGTCAGGAGCAGACCAAACTCTAGCATGGCCAGAAGCCACCAGAAGGAGAGCTATCCCATCTCTGCTCTGTCACAAATCTCTTTCAGCTGGTTTCCTCAACTATACACTAAGGGAACCAATCCTTTGGCATTGGGGAAAGGTGAGAGTCTTGGATGCTCCTGGGAGCTGTTAACATGGGAGGAAAGGTGGAGCTGAAGTGTGCAGATAAAAGATTCTCACCAGCACCCTGGCCAGTTTGGCTCAATAGTTAGAGCATCAGCCCTTGGACCGAAGGGTCCCAGGTTCAATTTCGGCCAAGGGCAGGTACCTCAGTTGCAGGCTAAATCCCTGTCCCCGGCCCAACCAGTCGATGTGTCTCTCTCACATCAGTGTTTCTCTCCCTCCTCCCAGCGGTCCCCCACCCCACTCCCTGCCCCAGTTAGAACCTAGATCTGGCAGTTAACAATGCTGGTCTGTAGAAAGCCTCAATCTTAAAATTACCTATCTGACTCTAGTTCAATTCCCTTCTTTTCCAAAGCCTTTTCAAATGATGCCTCCTGGTCTCTTTTGCTCTAAGTTAGTGGTTTTCAAACTGTGTCCCATGGAACCCTCTCATTTTGTGGTGGTGGTGCTGGGGTGTCTTGACAACTAAGGGAACAAGCTGGCTGACCACTGGCTGCAGCCAGGGAGCTCCAGATCTCTGTCTCACATGGGAGATGGAGGTAAGGGCAGAGACCACATGCTTCCTTCCATCTCCCACTCCACCTGGCATTAGTGCTCCAGAGAAGTGGTTGACTAAGTGACTGTCCTTTTTATGGGTCTTAGAACAAGTGAGGGCATATAGTTAGTCCAGGCTGTGACTCAGATGCTACTTAGCTTTTCCTTTTCCTTCCTGGTGGCTGTTATTGGTGGAGAGGAAGGGAGTGTGAAAGAAAATCTAAGCAAATCCCCACCAGTCACTTCCTTGCTCTTGACTTCTGACTCCTATTTGCCTCCTTTCTATTCTTCCAGCCGGTGACCTTGGCTACCAACCTCACTTGGTTGAGGGTTCCCAGACCTGTGCATGCCCCAAGCATTGACTCAGAGTAACTGGGCTGCCAGCTGGCCTCATGGCTGAGTGGGCCCTCAATCCTGCTGGGGTGCTCTGGGGTACATGGGAGCACACTCCCCAGCAGGCTCTATATTGTATAAGATCTAAAGCTCCTAGGCCAGTATTGGCCTACTGTGGCTGGCATTTAATGAATGTTAAATTTCCTTCCCTTGACCCCATTCCCTCAACTGGCAGAAGGGAGGGGAATATGGAGTGTCTCTTTTTTGAGACTCAGGAACCTGGGATTCCCAGCACACCTGGATACTTCTTGGAGAGACAAATAACCCCTCAAACTCCGCTGGATGGCAACCTGGTGGCTCTTCCTCTAGGAGAGCAGCAGGTTTGAGGCGGCCAATCAGAATAAAATGATGAACAGAAAAAACTGGGCCAGTGCAGGCCTCCCTCCTACCCCTTTTCTGCTCTCTTTCAGATTAATCAGATTTTTTTTCCAGCTGGGAAAAAGGCCTCCCCAGACACACCTTTGCCCTGTTTACAAATGGGATTCAGGTCCATGCAGAGCCCCTAAGTAAATAGCGCTGCCAGGCTACTTCCCAAAATAGAACTGGGGGTTCTCTGGGGAGGGGCTGGGCACACTTCTGCCATGGGGAGGTGCTTCACGTTGGGGCAGGGCTTGGGCAGGGAAGGCCGTCCCTCCCCACAGGAGCAGGAGAGGCCTGGGAGGGCACAGTCTTGTCTTGTGCACATTCTGGCTCCCAGGGCCTCAGGGTCTGGCCCTGAGAAGCCAAGGCAGAGATGGTGATGCCCCTCCTCGTGGGACCCATCTGCCACTGGAGGCCAGCTTCATAGGGCTTTATAGTGTGCCACCAGGAGAGGCTGGCCACAGCCAGCTCTGGCTTACCAAGGGCTTGGTTGATTCCATGATGCTTTGAGAGAGCCACAAGGAATCCGTAGAAGGTCAGTCTCTGAACGTTGCTTAGGACCTCTTTGACAAGTGCTGGGGGTGGGCAGCTAGAAGAGGGAATACATGCCAGAGTCTAAGACAAGCAAGTCTGAGTGTCATCTTTTCATCCATACTTCAGGTGTGGGAGGGGGCCCAAAGCCAAGATGAAGGGACCTGAGTGCCCTGGGCGCCCTAAGACCCTGGGGGAGCATGGCCGATATCCAGGAACAGGGAGCGGCTGGGGAAATGGCAATAGGTAAGAGCCTCTTCTAGAAAGAAACTAAAAGTGGCTGCTCTGACTCCAAGTGGACTTTGAGCCACACAGGATAGTTTAACCCTCCCTTTCTGTACAGTGAATTTTTTTTATATAGTGAATGTTTTTCCTTCTCTTTAAAATGTCAAGGCCAGTCTATGTTCCGGGAAGGAGAAGGGGGCCGAGCTGGTCATCTCTGGCTGTCTTGCCCCAGTGAAAGCAATCCTCCCTAACCCTTCCTAAGGGAGCAACCTGGTCTGGGGCAAATGGCACTGTTCTAATTTATGCCATGACCATCAGGACCCTAGAAGCCCTGGACCAAACAGCCTGCTAGAGATCTGTTCCAGGGCCAGCAGCCTACACTCCCTGGGACCGAGGGGGTCTACGTGGCCATTTCTCACCTGTACTTGTGCCGGTCACACAGGTTCTCCAGGCGCTGGTAGAACAATGACGCCTCGACTCCCTCCAGCATGCTGGTCTCACCCAGGGGGGGCCGCTGGCGGTGCTGCCCACTGGATGACGTTGGCACAATCACTGTGTTAGGGCTCTTGCCTGACAGTAGGTCTTGGTAGATGGCAGCAACACTCTCCAGGAATTCTGGGTACCATGGATGGAGGGCACAGGTCAGGCAGGGAGGACATCCTTCATCCCTCCACTGTCTTCCCTCTGTCAGCTCCACACCAGCATCAGTGCTCAGGGCACGGCATGGCCACTACACTCAGAGATGACACCAATGTGTGTTTCAGCTCAAATGTCCCTCTTCTGGGTAGCTGTTTCTAAATCAGGTGAGGTCCCCCCTTACATACTTTCACAGCACCCTGTATTCTTCGTAGCATTATCAGTGATGAGTTTTCTGAGTAATTGTTTGTGGACTCTGTCTCCTTACTGGCACGGGAGATCCTCGAACAGAAGCAGGCACCAGGTATTGTCAACCTCTCTGCCCTAGTACCCGGCCCTGGGCCTGGCACATATTAAATGGCTGTGAATGTTTTTGTAAAGGTGAAGGTGTGCGCACTCCCACTGAAAGTCCTACCTTCTGAGGTACCTGCCTCTGCAACTCAGGAATGCACGTTGGAATACAGTGTGGGAAAGAAAGCCCAAGCTACGAGTTTATTGTTGAAATTGTTTCTGAATTTTAGCAGTCAAGCCGTAGTTAGTGAGCAGTGACTTATGGCCCATCTCACCGCTGACTGATGCAGTAGTGATGCTCGGGCCCCATGCTGCTGCGAGAAGAGGCCTGGGAGGCCGCGAGGGGAAAAGGTTCTCCCAGACATGGCTGCTCCTTTTTAGGGCCCAAGTGTGACAGAGAAATGGGGAATAAGTGCCTGGAGCTTCTAAGAGCAGGTGGTGAGACCCAGGATCCAGACCCTGACTGACCACACCCTTGGGCTGCCATCAAGAAAACAATGTGATGCCCGAGTGAGGCCAGGGCTGGTTGGGGCCACCAGTTGGCAGGACGGCCATGTCTAGGCTCCAAGGACAGCCTTGTGTTTACTGGAAGAGCTCGTTTTAAACGAGTTTGCTTATGGACAGTCAGCAATTTCTAAACCCAATGTTCGATTTGATGTTCTGGGTGAGCTGCTGTGCATTTATATTTATTCACCTATTTTTAAAAAAATACATATCTTTATTGATTTCAGAGAGAGGAAGGGACAAGGAGAGAGATAGAAACATCAATGATGACAGAGTCTGATCGGCTGCCTCCTGCACGCCCCCTACTGGGGGTCGAGCCCGCAACCAGGGCATGTGCCCTGACCAGAAATCGAACCTCCTGGATCCTAGGTCGATGCTCAACCGCTGAGCCACGTCCGGCCAGGCCACCTATTTTTATTCCACCTGATTCCAGACGGGATTCAAGGGCAAAGCTGGTGCGTACTGGGGAGTAGGGTGGGAGCGTGAATAGGGCTGGTGTGCATTTATTTAAAGCTGTGGTGGGGACATGTGTGCCCGCACAGGAGTCAGGCCCAGGGACTGCGCTCCCATGGCAGTGGTTCAGCACAGTGCCCGAGAGCGCCTGCTGGGAGCGAGCCCTCTGTCCAAGTGTGGGCTCCAGTACTTAGTAGCTCAGTGACTTTGGCTACTTGCCTCTGTGAGCTTGGCTCTTAAAGGGCCTGTCTCTTAGGGCTGTTGTAAGGATTAAAGTCCTTACTGCTATGCCAGGGAGAGTAAGTTTTTGATAAGCAGTGAGTTTATCAGGTTTGCCACTATGGCGTGTATGGTGGTTGTCACTGTCGTTACCACCTACACTGATTGCTGCACTGCTGACTGCAGTGTCTGTGTCTTGAGGATGCTGAGGCAGTAGGCTCTGCACAGTGTATCTTGTGACCCCCAGCAACAAGAACTGGACATGTGTAGTGACCATGGTGAAGCACACCACGGAGGGAAGTGCAGGAGAGAAATGTGTGTGCTGGGCACAGGATGGCGTGGGCAGCCGGGCAGGAGAGGGAGATGTGTCTGATGGGAGCCATGTGGGGTCCTGGGAGACTCTCACCTGAGTAGTAAAACTGGACCTGGAAGGCGAAGAGGAAATCTGAGAAAGACATCAAGCAGTCCATGGCATCATCCATGAGCACAATCCTGAGGGGGAAAGAGAAATGTGGGGGG